ATGGGACACTTTGAAAGCAGTGCTAAAAGGGAAAGTTCATAGCACTAAGTGACCACATGAAGAAACTGGAGAATAGTCACACTAGAAAATTAACAGCACAACTGAAAGCTCTAGAACAAAAAGAAGCAGAGTCACCTTGGAGGAGTAGATACCAGGAAATAATCAAATTGAGGGCTGAAATCAATAAAGTAGGAACAAAGAAACAATAAAAAGAAACAATGTTCTATGAGAAAATCAACAAGGTAGACAAACCTTTAACCAAACTAACCAAAGGCAGAGAAAGAATATGCAAATTAACAAAATCATAAATGAAAAGGGGGATATAACAACAGTCACTGAGGAAATCCAGAGAATCTTCAGGTCATACTTTGAAAACCTGTACTCCACAAAAATTTGAAAATTTAAGGGAAATGGACAATTTCCTGGATAGATATCACTTACCAAAATTAAATCAAGAACAGATAAGCAATTTAAATAGACCTATAACCCCTGATGAAATAGAAGCAGTCATCAAAAGTCTCCCTACCAAAAAAGTCCAAGACTAGATGGTTTCAGTGCTGAATTCTGCCAAAAATTCAAAGGAGAGCTAATACCAATACCCACAAAGTGTTCCACACAATAGAAGCAGAAGGCTCATTGCCAAACTCTTTCTACAAGGCTACCTTGGTACACAATCCACACAGCTAAGACACAATCAAGATAAAGAACTACAGACCAATCTCCCTCATGAATATCAATGCAAAAATGCTCAATAAAATACTGGCAAATCCAGTCAGGTGTTGGTGGTGCACACCTTTAATCACAGCACTCGGGAGGCAGAGGCAGGCGGATCTCTGTGAGTTCCAGGGCAGCCTGGTCTCCAGAGCAAGTGCCAGGATAGGCTCCAAAGCTACACAGAGAAACCCTGTCTCGAAAAACCAAAAAGAACAAAAACAAAAACAAAAACAAACAAAAATACTGGTAAATCCAATCCAAGAACACATCAGAGAAATCATCCACCATGATCAAGTAGATTTCATCCCAGGGTTGCAAGGACAGTTCAACATATGAAAATCTATCAATATAATCCACCATATAAAAAAATGCAAAAGAAAAACCACATGATCATCTCACTAGATGCTGAAAAAGCCTGTGACAAAATCTAACACCCCTTCATGAAAAAGGTCCTGGAGAGATCTGGGATAATAGGAACACACCTGAACACAATGAAAGCAATATACAGCAAACCAACATCAAACTAAATGGAGAGAAACTAATGCAATTTCTCTAAAATCAGGAATAAGACAAGGTTGCCCACTGTCTTAATATCTCTTCAATATTGTGCTAACTAGAACAATAAGACAAAAAAAGGAGATCAAGGGGAAACAAAATGGAAAGGAAGAAGTCAAACTTTCACTATTTGCAGATGATATGATAGTTTATATAAGTGACCCCAAAAACTCTATCAGGGATCTTCTACAGCTGAGGAACATCTTCATCAAAGTGGCAGGATACAAAATTAACTCAAAAAAATCAGTAGCCCTAATATATACAGATGATAAATCCAATGAGAAAGAAATCAGGGAAACATCACCTTTCACAATACCCACAAGCAACATAAAATATCTTGGGGTAACACTAACCAAACAATTGAAAGACCTATATAGCAAAAACTTTGAGTCTTTAAAGAAAGAAATTAGAGAAGACACCAGAAAATGGAAAGATCTCCCATGCTCTTGGATAGGTAAAATTAAAATAATAAAATGGCAATCTTGCTGAAAGCAATCGACAGATTCAATGCAATCTCTATCAAAATCCCAGCACAATTTTTCACAGACCTTGAAAGAACAATTCTCAACTTTATATGGAAAAACAAAAGACCCAGGAGAGCCAAAACAACACTGTACAATAAAGAAATGTCCAGAGGCATCCCCATCCTGACTTCAAGCTCTATTATAGAGCTATAGTCCTGAAAACAGCTTGATATAGACACAAAAATAGACAGGTAGACCAATGGAATTGAATTGAAAACCCTGATTAAGCCACACAACTATGAACATGTGATTTTTGACAAAGAAGCTAAAATTATACAATAGAAAAAAAGAAAGTGTCTTCAACAAATGGTGCTGGCATAGCTGGGTGCTGGCATAACTGGGTGCTGGCATAACTGGATGCTGGCATGTAGAAGACTGCACATAGATGCATGTCTGTTGCCATGCACAAAACTTAAGTCCAAATGGATCAAATACCTCAACATAAACCCAGCCACACTAAACCTCTTAGAAGAGAATGTGGAAAGTACCCTTGAACAAACTGGTATAGGAGACCGCTTCCTGAAAATACCAGTAGCACAGACACTGAAATCAACAATTGATAAATGGGACCTCCTGAAACTGAGAAGTTTCTGTAAGGCAAAGGACACAGTCAACAAGACAAAATGGCAGACCACAGAATGTGAAAAGATATTCACCAACCCTACATCTGACAGAGCGCTGATTTTCAAAATATACAGACAACTCAAGAAGCTATTCTCGAAAACACCTACTAATCCAATTAAAAAGTGGGGTACAGAAATAGACAATTATCAACAAAGCAATCTAAAATGACTGAAAGACACATAAGAAAGTGCTCAACATCCTTAAAAATCAGGGAAATGCACATCAACACAACTCTGAGATACCATCTACACCTGTCAGAATGGCTAAAATCAAAAACACCATCACCAACTAAAGTTTATGCTGGAGAGGATGTGGAGAAAGGGGAACACTCCTCCACTGCTGGTGGGAGTGCCAACTCATACAGCCACTTTGGAAATCAGTATGGAGATTCCTCAGGAAAATGGGAATCAGTCTACCACAAGATCCAGCAATTCCGCTCTTAGGCATATACCCAAAAGATGCACGTTCATACAACAAGGACATCTGTTCAACTGTGTTCATAGCAGCACTATTTGTAATAGCCAGAAACTGGAAGCAGCCTAAATGTCCCTCAACTGAAGAATGAATACAGAAAATGTGGTACATTTACACAATGGAGTACTACTCCGTGGGAAAAAAGTAATGTAATCTTGAAATTCTCGGGCAAATGGATGGAACTAGAAGAAACCATTCTGAGCGAGGTAACCCAATCACAAAAAGACAATCATGGCATGTACTCACTCATATGTGGATTTTAGACATAGAGTAAAGGATTACCAGCCTACAATCCACACTGCCAGAGAAGC